CTCCTGTTATCATTTGTTTCCACTGGAGATCCTCCTCTTTGTCTGTTCTCTTGTTTGTTTTGGCGTACTCCACGATGTAGCTCAAAATGTGGACGTCTTGTCCAAGCTCAGCAGGTTTCTTCCAGCTCACTGATATCTCACTTGAGTTTGGTATAACTTTAGGTTTTCCAGGAGGGCTGCAGGGTAAGGTTTTAATGGAACCACTGACATGATTGGCTGGTCCAACACCTACAGAGGTCACTGCTCTGCACCTGATCTTATACTCTGTGTTTGGACTCAGATCACCCACTGTGACCTCTTCAGGTTTTGATGCCATCTGTTGTTTCCATCCTTCCTCTCCACTGACACAGTACTCAACAGAGTAGGAGGTGATGCGCTCTGATCCAAACTTTGGTGGATCAATCTTCAGTGTCACACTGTTGTGGTTTACGTCTCTTACTGTGACTGTTTCAGGCTTTGAAGGCGGCTCAAAGTTCTCAGTGACAGAAAAGCCTTCTTTATAAAGGTAGATGCTCGAACCTTTCTGTGCCTTATTTGTTATTCCTACTGTCAAGAACTTAATGTTCTTGTTCTCCTGGTTGGCCTCTGCAAAGTCACTGAAGAGCTTTGCTTTTTCCCTCATTGATTTGGCTGCTTCTCTTGAAGCATACCATTGTTCCTTCTCTACACCCTGAGCATATGGATCTTGAGGGTTGTCTGGTTCTGGTGTTTGTCTTAAGTAGTTTGACAAAGCTGAGAGGTACGGTTCATCGACTCCCATTGAGGTGAAAACAAAACACACAGCATGTTCTGTTCTTAGACTTTCTTTGTAAAGGAGATTCTGAGATGATACAACCTTGGTGTTCTTCATCGTGTCTGCTAAAGACAGTAATGTGTTGATCTCTCTCTCTTTACAATCCATCCACTCATTCTGGTTTTTGTTGTTGAATGGAGAAGAGTGTATTTTCCTCAGGACATCTGCGAGCACAGCCTCCTCTTCTCCTCCTCCTCGGATTGATGATCATCTTTTCGCTGATCTGTGGGAACTGCTTTGCTGTGGTGGTTCTCAGTGCATCGTTACACCTCATTTCTAGCTCACTGAGGTACTGCAGTACATTCTGTGAGTCTTGAACTAAACTTTCACTTATCTGACGTACAAGTTTAGCAGCCGAAGATACTAAAGTTGTCAGAGGCGGGTGTTTTTTGGTTGTTTTTGTGTCGAGCTGTATGCGGACTCATGTTCTTTTACACAAATCAAGTTCCTATTTGAAATTGAATTGTACAGTATCACTCGAATCTTCTAAGTGAGAGCTGATGCTGTGATAGAGCAGAGCAGTAAATAACTATAATCCATATAGGAGTTGAATTTTGGGAACATTACGACCAATTATTTGATGTATAAATATTCATATTTCAAGCCCAACACACCAACACATTTTACACTGTGAAACTCAACACTACAAAACATGTTATAAACAAGCAGATTTAAGACCCTGCTCGCCTTAACAAGAGCCCCAGAGATTAGGACATGCTGAAACGTTTTAAGGATTTGCTCGAGGTTTCTGTCTGTTCAACATGAGTCTCTTTTAACCTGAATCGGATTGGCCAAATATCTGATAAAATTCCCTGAATAACATTATTTATACAGTCAATATTTTGTCTTGACCTTTGGTCATTAAGCCATGTATGAGTTTATTTCCAAAATTTGATTTCCTGGCCTTTTGATCTATCTAAAGTAGATCATTTTGCCTTTCTTAAACTAGAGGGAAGTACCTAAAGGAGAAAATTCCCTTTCCCAAAGCAACCCATTACAAATATTTAGTTAAAAAAGAAGGTGCCTAATCTTAATACTTTCATTAACCCTCCAAGGTCGATGTTGTCGTATATGACATAACAAGGTTATGTTTACAGCTCGAAAAATGGAACAGCACGTTGTAGCAACTTAAAGTACGATCCACTCGTTTCGTAACACCAGCAGCTTTCCGGTGAAAAACTCTGTTTCTGCGACATCCAGGGGCTTTTCTATCCTACTGGCAAGATCAGTGTATCTTTCATTTGTGATCCATGTTTTATAGATTTTTCATGTTTAGGCTGTAAACATTTATATATTATTATTATTATATACAACACATCATCACTGTCATCAATAATCACGTCATTGTATTTGTGTATAGCTGCTCATTGTCATAATCCCTCCCTGCTCCTCCATCTCCGTGGTGACCGACCCTCCGCCCCTCCCCCATAAGATCTGTTTCTGCACACAAATAAGGAAAAAAATGCTTCCATTGACTCACTGGGTCGACGTGTCCCACTCCCCCGACCACATCTTTCTTGTCATTGACGATGAGTTAGTTACAATTCATCCAAAATCATATTAAAGCCAACTAGTCTCCAAAAGTGTGCTATTCATGGGTTCTATGAATGAAGTTGAAGTGCATTAAACCCTTTTAACAAATACGGAAATCTCCTGAAATACTCCAGAGATTACCCGGAGGGGCTGTATAAGTAAATGCAAACAGCCAAATTTTTCGCTTGGATTTCACCTGGAGTTTCTCCTGACAGACCCCGAGTATTTTTTCCGCAGCAAGTCCGAGTGGGCTGATGTTAGAACGCAGCAGGATACACCTCGAGCACATTTTTCATAACAACACTCTTGCCTCATTCTCTCATTTGGTTCAGAAGTTCGGCATTGGGGAACAGCACTTTTTAGAATATCATCAAATTCATCCTTCTATAAAAAGCAAAATCAATATTATAACATCCAACTTTGAACTTCCACCACTAACCACAGACATAATCAAAACAAGGAAAAAAATATTATATAATTCTACAAAATAATCCTGAAATCTGACCAAACAGTATCTGTACCCTTCACAAAATGGGAAACTGACCTCCAGATAGCCCCCAATGCCGACTTCTGGACCCAAATCTGCAGAAACATATTCTCCATATCAAACAATACAAACCTACAACTCATACAATACAAGATTATTCACAGAGTTCACAACACGGGTGAGAGGATGTTTAAAATGGGCCTCACTGATTCTAAATTATGCTCACACTGCTCACAAAACACCACAGACGGATACCTGCACACCACATGGGACTGTACACCAATAAAACACTTCTGGCATGACATCACTGACCACCTCTCTGCTCTTGAGCTGCCACATCCCATGTTCACCCACACTCTGCCTACTAGGAGACATATCTACCATCAACTTAAATATCACATCCAGCAAAATACTCCTCATAGCCTTAACCATCGCCAAGAAAACTGTCCTCATGAACTGGAAGTCAAGAAAAAAAATCAACATTGCACATTGGAAAAAGTTACTCATTGAATAAATATCAATGGAAAAACTAACAGCCTGGAACCCAACAATCAACAACCTCAACTCATAACTACCCCCACAACATCCCACCCATCAACTCTTTCTGCCTGTGCAGCAATCACACCCAACACACACACACACACACACACACACACACACGCACACACACACACACACACACACACACACACTTTACAAGTGACTGCATTTTCATACACTTTTATTTTTTCCACCTGGCCCCCATGCTCTCTTGTCCGATTCTCCCTTTTCTCTTTACCTTTCTTAGCCGTTCAGCATTAGTATTGTTATAATCATTATTATTACGTTGCTGAATTTTGTCCTTGTTTTTTTTTATTATCTATTTTTTTAAATGTAATTTAAATGTATTTTTCTTTGTGTGACTTCCGTGGATAATACATCAATAGTCTCTCTCAACATTTCTGCCTTATTTCATGTTATATTTTTTCTTTCTTGAACTGCGACATACTATTATTATTATTATTTTACTCAATTTTATTATAATCATTATTAGATACGAAACATAGTATTTTTATTTTCTTGTAATTTTCATCATTATTTATTGATAGATTTTTTGCTCTTTTTGTTTGTTTTATTTATTTTGATTTACAATGTTATTCCCTTTATTCCTTTCGATATACATCAGGCATCACATCATCTGTTCAAATTCAAAACACCATCATGTTAACTTTTTATGGTTATTCTTTATTTGATTGTTTTTTATTTTTTATTATTGTTTTTCCCTTCTTCCAAAGTTTTCGGCTACATGTTACTTCCAATCCATCATAAGACATATCATCAAAATTAGTATTACATATTTATTATTATTATCCCTGTTTCCCCTTTCTTTCTTTTTTATATACTGCTCCCTCCTCTGGGTCTGGTGGTTCCTCCCTCTCAAGTGTGTGCTCTTTAAACAGCAATATAACAGCTACTGCATTTGGGGGGCGGGCTTCCTTCTGCTGGGTCTGGTGGCCCCTCCCTCTCATGTGTGCTCGCTGAACAGGCCGGGTCCTGCAAGAGACAAGTCCCTTCCTGAGGGTCTGGGGGGCTGCTGCTGCAGGACCCGGCCAAAGAAAAGAAAAGAAATAAAAAGAAATAGCTTTGCCTCTCCCTCCATCCTCCCCTCCAATCAAATAACGCTCAAACCAACCCCAAAACCCAAAACCCAAAACCCCGGCTGCAGTCAACTTCCCCTAAAACATAATCATTATACAAACTCTCCCCTCTCACACCACAACATTGTTGAACATATTCAACACATACCACTGCTCAACTCCTCAACTCTCTTCCACCTCTCAAGTCCCCCTAACCCCTCCCCTTCTCTCTCTCTCTCTCTCTATCACTTCTTTCACTTCTTGTATCCTTTCTGTATTTCATATAGTTTTGTGGTTTTTCTGTTCGTAGTATGATGTGTGTCTATTGATGTCTTATTTTGCTGTCTTTATTTGTTTTTGGTTTTTTTTACTGTATTTTGGAGTCGGTGTCCTGACCTTGTCTGTTTGTTTTTTTTGCCTCATTTGTATATCACCAGTTTGTCACTTTATTGCACCTAATAAAAAAAAAAAAAAAAAAACAACAACATATAACTCATATGAAGGATTTTAAATCAAGACATGTGACCTGTTTACAGCTTTTCAAAATAAAAGTCTTTCATCTTTTGTTCTCTTAGTACTTTATTAGAACCCAAACAACATGCGTTGAGACAAACAAATCAAAGTCACCATGATCATAGATTTCTTTACACAAAGTGCTGAGAACAAAATATCTGGAATAAAGACGAGAAGTTTAAACTCTATTTGAGCCCAAAAACAAAGTTTGATTGAAGGTCCAAATCAACGACACAGAGGGATTAAATGTGAATGAAAACAGAGTGAAGAGTTGTGCTCTTCGTCTTCTTCCTCCTCTCACTTTAACTCTGAGACTCGACTTTCATCTTGAGGTTGAAGTCGTACGAGAACAAAACACAAAGAAAAGTTTTGAACATTTCAGACTGAAGACAAAAACAAGAAATTCAAACATTTCACACAATAACGCTCTCAGCTCACTCTGATGTTGGTTAGTGTCCTTATTCTGAAACATACAAAGTGTCTTTATCACAAGTCAAGCCGTCAACACCATGACCTTTCTTCTTTGGATTGGTCCATGTTGGTTTGAAGACTCTTCTCCTGACGTCAGACTGGATCTCTCTCAGTTCCAAACAGACTGAAGACTTTTGGGTTCTTTGACTTCATGATCTGTGATTTTTAAAAACTCTGAAATATGAAATCAAACATGAACACACTCCATGCTTCCTCTTTCATTAAAAACTCCTCTGGAGTGTTTTCATCACATCTCTTCTGTCACCCTGTAAAACATCAACATATTTCTCCCTCCTCCTCTTTGATCTGATTGGAGAGAAATATGCAACACACACTGCGAGCACACACACACGTTTACATGTTCAGGTGAACAAAGGTCATCATGAGCAGAGATAGCCTCCACGGATAAACAGACACAGGAAGGAGCACCACCTTAAAAACAACTCAAAACACCACCACAGATATTCAGACCTCAAAGCCCCGCCCCTAATGTTTGATTGACAGGTGATCTGTGTGCAGTGAGGGACAACGATGAGCTCTCAGCTACAAACATGAAGACTAACTAAGTTTAAGAGTTTAAACACAGACTTGAAGCCTCTGTCTTCAGTTTACACAACTCAGCAGTGGATCCATCAGGACTATAAAGCCTGAGTCCAGCATGTAGAGGCTGAGTGAATGTGGTCTGGACTCTGTGGAGGAGAGTCATGGTTTCAGAGATGCTGTAGAAGGACAGAATACCTGCTCTGTGATCCAGGTACACTCCTACTCTGGAGGACTGAGGACCTGAGACAGGAGTGTTGACATTGTTGTACCAAAAGTTATAACTGTTGTTGTTACAATCTAACCTCCAAGATTTGTCATTACATCCAAACAAACATTCAAGTGCCCTCCCTGCTCTGCTGATATTCTTGTATGCGACTGCTACAGAAACTCCTCCTCCTCTCCTCTCCACCTCCCAGTAACAACGTCCAGTCAGACTCTCTTTACTCAGGACCTGACACCAAACAGTGCATCTGTCTGGGTGACTAGAATAAGACTGTTGTTCTCTCATGTATGTTACTTTTCTGTCTCCATCAGATAATAACAGCTGTGTGTGTGCTGTGTTTGGATCCAGTGTGATGTTACATGAATACTCAGCTCTGGTCATGTTCTCTGGTTCTGGTTCTGACAGTAAAACATCCACTTCAGTCACTGTCTGTGAGATGTTTGTCCATTTCTCTCTCAGGACGTCCTGTAGTTTATCTCTGACTTCTGACACAGCCGCTGTCACGTCCTCAAAGTACCTCAGAGGACGGATCTTGATGCTGGATGAGTGTGTAGATTCACTGAGTGGTGACAGTGAGGGGTAGTCGTGTAGAAACTGGTTGTGATCCTGTGTGTGTGACAGCTTCTTCATCTCAGCGTCTCTCCTCTTCAGCTCAGTGATCTCCTGCTCCAGCTTCTCCTGAAGCTCTCTGACTCGACTCACTTCAGTTTGCTGCTGGGATCTGACCTGCTGCTTCACATCAGAGCGTCTTTTCTCCATGAGACGGATCAGCTCAGTGAACATCTTCTCACTGTTCCCCACTGTTTTATCAGCGGAGCCATTGATAGCCTCCACCTCCTGTTGGAGCAGCTTCACATCTTTCTCTCTGTCCTGGATTCTCTGCTGGATGTTTTGTTGACTCACCTCCAGCTCTCTCTGCCTCTCGCTCCTTTCTGCTGCAGCTGGGACTGTGTCGTGACCTTTATGTTGGTCCATTATACAAAGGTGACAGATAGACTGCTGATCAGTCCTCCTGGTGCAGACATCACAGGACACATCTTCAGATCCAGCATAGCAGTGATCAGCAGGAGCAGCTTGGAGTCCAGTCTTCTTCAGCTCCTCCATTAAATCTGCTAACATGGTGTTTTTCCTCAGGTCAGGCCTCGGTGTAAAGACCTGTCTGCACTGAGGGCAGCTGTACTCTCTCTTCTCATCCTTTGTATCCCAGTGGCTCTGAACACACTTCATGCAGTGTGAGATTCACTTCCTCATAGCTGAGACTAGTTCACCTCTGATCTACAAAACATGTGTCTGTGCAGAGAATGTGCAGCTCTGGTTGGTTACACCCATCCTCAGAGTGTAGATCTGAAGGGGAGGGAACCAGAAAGAACGAGAGACAGAGAGCAGCTGGGTGTGTTTGAGAGCAGGAAGAGGGAGAGCTGATCAATCGAGGATTCATTCCAGGAAGAGGAGCAGCACTGATACAGTCCACTTGGTTTCCTGGTCTTAAAGAGGCCTGGGTTAAAAGCTGCTCCATGTTTCACAACATGAAAGATTTGAGTGAATGAATACTTCATACTCCTCTCTGTAGCTCAGGGATCCATATTTCTCTGACTCCTCAGTTTCTCTAACATGTTGTGTCTCTGGTTAAAAAGCAGAGGACTGAGAGTGAACTATAAACTGTCATTCACTCATTCCTTTTCTCTCGTATTAAATGAAGTGTTTGAAACATTGTCTGCCTCTGTAGCAGGGCGTGTCCAGAGGGGAGGCATGGGCCCTCCTTGAAATCTTATTGGCCCCCAAAGCTGCCACCCCAAAATCCTTGACTATGATTGGCTCTTTTCCTTGAGGTGGGGCTTATGTTGTAAACTCATAGTTTTCAGTGTGCAGATGTTCGTTTGAATTGTGACCTTCGGCCGTATTTGTTTTGAGTCCTTGAAGATGTTTATGTTGTTGTTATCTTCGTAGTGATTGGTGCAGACAGAAGAGGTAAATAAATGCTCTTCCGTCGCCCCTTCACAAGTCAGCGTCCCACTTGGGCCTCACCAAATCCAAAAAGTCTTTAGTTTACAGTTTTATTTGGGTTCATACTTGTACCTGAACTGGCTGCACGTTAGCATCGTAGCTAACTCTTAGCTAAGACTGGATACAACAGTACTTCTACAGCGGAACAAGATGCACTCTGATCACAGTCCTACAGTGACCTCTAGTGGTTAACTCAAGTCACCTACAATTAAATCACATCTCTTTTTAGGAGACACATAATAAATAGTGCTGTCAGCATTAATTAGTTGATCGTGAATAAGGTCTGAAATGAATGCATTCATGTTTTTTAATCTTGATTAAACTCATGTTATTTTCTCCCTTCAGGCAGCTTTGCTAACTGCAACACAACATGTCACTTACAGACTTGAATGTGAATGTTTTTATGACTGAGTGACAGACTGGCTGAACATAAATACACCATAAGGACTAAAAACTCAAACTACCCAATGGCACAGCACTACCAGACAGCAGGCCACACGAACTCAGAAGCTTTAAAAGTCATGGCCATTGAAGTCATTCCCTAAAACCTAAGAGGAGGTGATAAACTCAAACGCCTCAGGGCCACTTCCTTTCTCTCCAATTTCTCTAACTGGTTTTGCTAAGGTCATATATATACCTTCTGTCTATCTATATTAATGTCTGTGACTTCCTTTCCAGACTAATGCCGATCTGAAGTGTGTGTGTCTTGTCCTGATGGTGTTAGGCCTTACTGCTTCTTGAACTGTGTTTTCCACCTCCAGTTCCGTGCAGTCTTGGGTTTACCATCATTATAGCATTGCTTCTATGATTCAACACATAATGAAGTGATCCTGGTGATGGTTATTCTTCCACTTGGTTTTTCTTTTATTATATATGCATCATTTCTGACACTTTTTTGTAATGTTGTATGTGTGTGTACTGAACTTCTTCTTTCATGGCATCCTACCGTACTTAAACAAGTTCTGAAATATTTTGTGTCATAATATATGAGTCGCTGTGTTTATTTGCATCTTAATCAGATGTTTGAAATGTATCATGTGACCATGACATCACATGACACCATGAATAATTATGTCCTGATGAAGACTCAGTAGAGTCGACAAGCGTGGACAACCCCTGACAAATAAAGGATTTTTATATGTTATCAGAGTGCCTCGGACTTTCATTTCAACACTGCTTCTCCACACTTTCTCTCTTTTAATCAGGACAGTCAAACTTGTTTATTAGCTATTCAACCAGATATTTCAATACTGCAAACATAGAATACAAATATATGGATTTTTTAGGTAAAGTAACATTTGAGGCAGAAGCAAATTAAAAAGTTTCTGTTTATTCATTTCTTTATATTTTGAACTGCCTGTTTTGCTGCATTCAGGGTCTGCAAATTCGGAAGGATTTTCGGGTTTCTGTTAAATAAATGAAACCGTCTGTACTTTTCTAATGGACTAATTACCGTATTTCTTGAGGATTTTTACCCTTTAAAGCTTTAAACGTTGCTCAACTAGTGCTATGTTTCTGTTTGATTTAATGGGTTATTAATGCTTGTATCTGTCTTTAGATACACCTGTGAACAATTAATCTGTGAACACATATCCCCCAAAAGGACATACGATTACCAAAAACGCTTAAAATGAAATCCCAAAGTACGAGGGAAAGTAATCAAGTCTTAAAGTGCTTTAAATATTATTTTAATCAGATCTAAAAATCGATTGTGTTGGATTTTGTACTGAGTAATCATTTTTACGACATGCGCAGGAGAGACTTGAAGGCAGCATGACCGTTATTATTTAAAGAATACAGGATTTTCCACTTTGCTAACGCGGAGATTAAAACGGTTATCTGGATCTAAATTAAAGCAGATTAAAACGGTTATCTGGATCTAAATTAAAGCAGATTAAAACGGTTATCTGGATCTAAATTAAAGCAGATTAAAACGGTTATCTGGATCTAAATTAAAGCAGATACACCGACAGGACACGTCGTGACATCACACGATGGACGGTAACGACGAACGGTTGGATGTTATCCGGAGTTTCACGGTGAACAGTTTCAGGTTGGACCCGGACAGTTGGCGGGAGTTGGTATTACAGGATGAGAACCGGGTTATCTTTAAAGGTTTCTTTAGCTCTCAGGACTTCAGGAACCTGTTCATCTACCGGGACTCAGAGTCTGGACTCTCCGTCAGCCTCCACTTTCCTAAAAATGTCCAAACCAAAGTCATCTGTGTCTCCAAAACATCCCGGGACGCTTTCAGCACCGAAAGTGTCCGAGAGAGGTTCATGATTCAGGAAGTGCAGGGAGACAGCGCCATGACGTCACTGGTCTCAGTGTGGTGAGGAGGTGAGAGAGTGTGAGGAGGTGAGAGTGTGTGAGGAGGTGAGAGAGTGTGTGAGGAGGTGAGAGAGTGTG